CTGCAACCTTCTACTGACAGTGTCGCATTGGCGGGTTTGAAAGTGAAACTAAAAAGCAATAAATTAGTCTGTTACTTGCATTTTGCCTCCTTTCGAATAGATTCCTACTTTTTGATGTAGACTGATGTTAAATAAGTAGCATGTTTACGTTAGTGTTTAGTGCAGGTGGCTTGAATGGGTAGAATTCCTGGGAGAGGACTCAATCCGCTCTTTAGCCTATGTTGGCTTGCTGAAATTAAGTAAGTAGTATGGGTGGTCGTGACAGTGGTGCGGCACGGGGTCGCGACTCATCCGGCCTTTCTGTCTTGTAAAAAGTTCGCTTAATGGGGCTGGAATTCCCTTACGGTACCCCGAGCCCTTGTGGCCAACAAATGGGCCACGGCGCAGGAGGCTGTGGCCTCAGGATGCGGTGATCTGGGTTTTGGAGAGAAAGGAGTCCTCGTATTTACTACATGACCCCCCTCTCCTTACTCTGTTCGTTAATCCCGACCTCCACTCGAATTACCTCTCCTTCGACCACAGGGGTTCGTAACCCGCGACCCGGTTATGAAGGTGACACAATGCATTGGAGTAACATTTACTTCGTTAATGGTGGCACATGCTGTGGCTTTGTGAAGGGTTTCAGAGCGCCGCCTATTTTCTGCGAGGCGACGGACATCAGGCGGAGGCCCATCTCGAAGATGGAGACGCATCCCGGCAATGTTACGCATTCTCTTCTGCATTATAACCACATCTTGTGGAGGACACACGGCCTTTCCACACGGTCCTCTTTGCTCTCAAACTGTCGCTGGCTACCGCTTTCCATCCTGAGAACTCGGCAGATGTTGGCACCTACCCCATCGGCCTTTTCGTAGTGACTCTTCGCAGATTCAGCATGTGGTTAGCTTGGCTTCCAACCAATGAAATGAGAGTCACTGTCCCCTAGGCAAAATTTCATCAAGGTGGTGGCAGACCTCACGGAGACTTGGAAGTCCACGATTCTTGTTGTACTGCAGTGAAGTAGTCAGTTTCGGCAGGTAGTGTTTGAGGTCGCACCGACTACAGCCCTTTCCGTTTAACGTGTTCACTTCAGGTTGCCTAAGTAACATTAGTGATGAGGGACGTGACACAGGTCGTATTTTAAAATAAAAAAATCCGTTCAAAATCTGCATGAGAATATTTTAGTGACCTTGAGTGAGTGACTGAAACCAAATAAGTAGTTTGAAATGGGAAAAATCCCTCAAGGCTGTCGGGATGAAATGAGTTAAACAATACACGGTTAGCACTGTTGTGTGCCTCTTTTGACTAGACTTCCCTCCTTTAGCCAAGTCTGTTACTTAAGAACTGCTTTTTTAAGTAGAATAAGGCCTAGTTGCGTCACTTTTGTTCATCTTTAAGGATTTAACTATCACTCACGCTCCAAGTTAGTTTGTTTTCGTGGCTGAAACCGAATAAGTAGTCTGAGTTGGGCATAACCAGCACCACTTACTCGAACGCCACGAGCGGTGTGAGGGTTAGCCACGTTCCCAACGTTCACATTCCCGATGTGATCCATGAAGGTGCCCCGATTCTCCTCTCTTCCATTCAGCTTACCGTCAACTTCAACTGATGCTGCTGCTTCGTCGACGAAGCCAACTGTATTGGCTGTCGTGCCCTCCTCCTACGCCAGGTCCAATGTTGTCGATTGGCTAACCACAGCAGCATTGATGAGCTGTTCTTCTAATGCGAATGCTTCAATGTTATTAGTGGCTAGAACAAATGGATAGGGAATCCTCTCAAAGCCAATGCCCATTGCTACCTCAAACCATCCACCTATAGCACCATTTGCTGCCACTCCTGCATCATTAACCGCATGAACGAAACCCCAATCAAGTACAATTTCGCAGTCTTTACAGTTGAGGCTCGACGAGAATGCATCCCTTTTGTCCAACCCATCAGGTAACTTTGCTAAGAATACTTTTAGCCAAGCAACAACTTCCGTCAACGACTGCCTGGTCAGACCTGTCATTACCAACTCATCTACAGATCGTGTTTTGCACACATCCAAGCGTGACCTTACCCCTCCCCTTATGCCTACGATCCATTCAACATATGGCATGCAGTTCTCACAAATGTGTCATTTTCTTGGCGACCTAGCGGCGATGTTGAAAATTGGCTCGTCAAATCTTCCAGAGTCCAGGGGAGCAATTCGTCCTCTGTATTCTTCGACAGTTACAAAAGGCAAGAAAATTAAAATGGCACCAGATTCTTCACTCGAATTGAATCCTGATGTTAGGGCAGCTGTTGTCACTCACTTACACTGGCACCGGTAGCAACAGCAACCATTCAAAGTTTACAATCCCACCAACAGCATTGCTCCTAGAGCTAGTAAAATCGAGTACCGCGGAAGAAGATGCATCAGCGTCATCAATTTTAATGATCAGGATAGGTCTGGGATCTTCTAGAAGGATTGGAACCCTACAGCAGTGTCGACACCAGCCAAACTCGTTTCAAAAGATCGAAATCCGTGATTCCAACACCACCGCCTACGTTGTGATGCAGGACGCAGAAAGGTCAACATGGGTAGGGCTAAAAAAAGAGACGATAATGTAGAGAGTCAATATTTTGTTTAGGTGCTACGCAGGGATTACAGATCTTAGAGATCTTTAGACCATGCTAATGCTTCCTAAGATCTGTGCATCAGTTATTGTGTTCTTCGAAACTACTCTGGCTTATGAATCCAAAAGACAACGCCGCGGCTGGCAGCTTGTCAAACCTTGCGATTGATAAAGTTGGCACTTAAATCTGCTCAGATTGCATTCGCACCCGGAACCATGGCAGTAGCCTCTAAGATATTTAAGGTGTTTGTAATGTATTTTCTATCCAAATTTCTGCAGTTTTTGCAATTTTACTGTTGATCAATGGCGCTAAAATAAATTTTTTGCAAGATGTTAGGATATAGTCTGCAGTAAAAGTTATTTAAATTAAAAAGAAATAATCCAATCAATCCAAAATTACGTGTGCATCAAAGCTTTTTAAGTGACATAAATTAAAATCCAAAAACACTCTTTGTGTTTAAAAGCTTGCTTAGAATAGCAACATTGCATGAAAAATGCACAGAATACTGACGATTTTATTTTTCGGGCGTAGCTTTATTTAAGCCCCCGCTATACGCGCCCAGTATGGTCGCGCAACAAGTTCATTGTATTGCTGATGCTGGGTTGGGAGGGTGCTAGCGGCAGCTTTGAACGGTTCTTTGAAGAGCATGTTCAAGATTAGTACGGAGTTGTAAGCCAATACTCTTTAATGTCATTCACTGTATTTTGTGCCCAGTCTTCCCATAATTTGCCCCACTTGCCAGGCATCATCAAATCCTTCCACTTCAGTTTGCGATGAATCGGTGGGCATTTGATCCTTTGGTCTTGCTCATTTAAATGATATTTGGTCGAATTTATGTTTCAAATTCTTTTGGTTTCCTCATAGTAGAGGAGGGTCGTTGATAAGGTGAACCGTTCCATGGGAAACATTAGTTGCGGTATAATTTTCCTTTCGCATTTTAGAAGTAGATGGTGTTAAAAGCACAGTTCCCGGTCAATAATTGTGCACTTTTTTTGTCCAGCTAGTAAGGATATTTTGCGATAACAGTGACTTCTTACTTTAGATTTTCGAGGCAAACTCCACTCTGCGAATGATACTTGACCCCGTGGAGAGGCAGCTCACCAGCACTACCTCAGGCACATTGGGTTTGGTGTGTTCACTTGAATCAGCAAGTCATCATTTTACTGCCCATTGTAGAGACTGAATGAGTCCTTTTTCTCTAACAAGGTTTGTGGAAATAGGTCTTGGATTAAAAACACGCAATTTTTCATTATTTTTGGCGTTGAAGGCCTTTACCACATGGAATAACCTTATTTTTATGGGTTCATCTATTCTTCCAAGTTTAGCTGTGCAGGTTTTTTGGTGAGAGATCCCCTTATGTATACTTAAAGAAAGAATTTCCGTTTTTGAATAAGTAGTTCGTATGCTGCTATTTCATTGTCTTCTATCTCGACCGGTAACATGCGCGAAACTTTTTGCCTGTAACATCCCAAACGACCGAGGCAGAGATTTTTCTTCTTACATCTCTGATTGGTTATGTTTCCCAATTTTACTTAGGCAAGAAAAGGAATTGCTCTTTAGGCAAAAGGTTCTTGCTTTGGAAAGTCTCGTCTTAAAACTGATTCAAAATTCAGATGTGGTAAGTGTCACAGGGAAAAATATTCAAGTCTTTTAGAAGGAGACGAAATCTTAACCATGTATTCCATTTCTGCTTCGGTCACCTAACTTTAGCTTCACTTTCGATGTGATCATGATAAGGAAGTAGCAAACAGACTGCCCATAAATCTGTCAATGATTCCCAGAAGACTGATATTTAGTTTAGCATCTAAGTAATTACTGCTATTTTGACGCCTCACGGGAATTCTGGTCTCCCCCTTAATCTAGTGGTGGTACTGAAGAGAGAGGTACATTCATATCGTCACCGTAATTTGGCAAATTTATTTCAGTTCGGATTCGGTAATGACACAGGGTTGACGGAGGGGGGAAGTAGCAAAGAAGACAAACTTCCTTCGGCTAATCTTCTTCAGACTAGATCTGAAAAAAAACAAAAAGATCCCAGATCGGGAGAGTAGCAAAGACAAGGCCCACTCAAGCCTTCCCTGACTTAACTTCGGCAACCTAAATAATGCTGATGTTGTTGTTGGTGAATTTATTCCGTTCCATCTCTCCAGGTGACCATTAATGTAGCAGTTCTGAGCTGTTCACTCCAACTGTTCACCTATTTAATTACTCTATCTTCTCATTGAAAATGATAATTTCCTCACCAGTTTTTGAGGCTAAATCCACATTGATTCCCCATAGTCTTTCTTGTAGACGACTGGTACGAAGTAAACCATCGACTCTCCGAATAAGGATAAGGATGAGATATATTTCCCCTTCTTAGGAGGGTAAACTTTGCAGCAGCCGCTTAGTTTTGGAGTAGATCGCCTTCTTCTCCTGATGGAGTGGACGAGATTGCAGCACCCGCAAGCGCAAAACTTGGAGCAGTTTATGACCGCGTAAATTTTCATTTTTTCCTTTATTTCTACTTGAAGCTTCTAACGAACTACCGCCTTTGATTGTGATCTTTCAAACTTAACGGTTCACGACTGGTTAAAACTTGGATGATGGGGTACGTATGTAGTCCCTAAATGAAAGGGATTAGAGATGATCGAGCGATCTGTTCGTAATTCTTATTTCCATGGTGTTTTGTAAACTAGGTTATTCCTTCTCGTTAGAGACTAGAAGGTGGGTAAAATAGGTTGTTAAAGCAGTGACTACCCCTTTTTCGCTTGATTTCCTCCTTGGTTTTTTTCCTCATTATTGCTAAGTCAACCTTTCCTTTTTCCTCTCCCTCCTCCACCCCCCCTCTCGAATTAGATCGTGCTGTTGGATGAAATTCGACAGGCTGTTAGTCTTTTACATGTTCATTGCAGAGATGGCGGAATAATGATTATATTATTTGGTATTTGCAAACTCTAATCACCGACTCCTGTCTTCCTTCATTATTTACAATAAACTGTACAAAAAGTAGCTGCCTTTTTCGTTAAGCTTCACCTTTGACATCATGGAAGTAATTGGCTTTAAACTGACACATCGATGCATGTGTCTGTTGGAGGTGGTTAGGTTCGCAGTGGGATGAGGGGCGAACGGAAAGTTGACAACGTCAAGCTTGATGTCAGGGAAAGGAACGTAGACAGACACCTCCGTTTCCACTTCGCTCCAATGTGTTATCCTATAATGTCTTGGAACAAATGAGGCGAACAGGCGGGATGGCGGTAAGTCAGCAAAGCCTTTCCCCCTTATCTCTCGGGGAGGGTTTGTGAGACGAGTGTTTTTTGCCCACCCGCCGCCTATGGCTTTGTGTCGTGTTTGAGAAGTGAGGGCAGTGATTCGGTCGTTTGAGAATTGAACGTTGAAATAATGAAAGCGCTTCTCGTCCCATTTTGGGCGGTCGAGCAACAAATGGATAGTCATCAGGATGGTCGTTTCTTAAACCTCTTGCAACTTGCCATGGTTTTGGCATCCACCATCTTGATAGTGTTCATTATTTTCCACTTCTGTTTGACGCAAATGTCAACGGGTTATTTCGTCAATCGGGATGTGAAACACAACCGGAGAATGTTTTTGAATGGTAGGCTGTTCTACCGCATCTTCCTCCTCCCCTTTCCTTCCCAAACCTCCACACGTGATTGTTGAGCTGACCGCCTGGGGAAAAAGTGGCCATCTACCCTGGGCTCATGCACTCAGCACTGACCACCTCATCCAGCTAGCTGTCTAACTTCAACATGATGCCATCTCGAATGCCCCGTTTTCGCTTGTCTTGGTTATTGGTAAGAAACTGTCAATAAAAGCAGGTCTATGCTGTTGTCGTCCATTAGCCTTTCTAATCCAACTACTCCCCAAGGTCCTATTTCGATTTACCCGACCATATCCAGATGTACTTCAATAGAACTGTGTGATCTGACGACATTGATGGTGTTGGGCTTCAATTTCACTCCTATTTGGCATAGTTTTAGCACATTCGCTTATCACACAGGCGGTGGTTGTGAAGCCGACAAATTTTGTACGACAGCATGCATCCACTCCTACTTTCAGAGGGCAAATATCAGTTGGTTCAAAATTTCAACTCAGGCCGCAGAAACACGTCGAATAGCAGGGATTCTTAGCAGCCTCAAGATGAATGAGGCGACTGCTCGGGGTTCGATGACTCAAAGTTGAGATGACCACGGTTGAACACAGGACTCAGGGCACATAGGCGGAGGAATGGGTGGGTGCGGGACCTTTCAATAGGTGTGATGACTCATCTCCGACCTTTTTATCTTGTTTTCTGAAACATCGCTAAGCCCTTTCTGTAGGTACTATGCGGGAAATTATAAGTTCTGGCCACTCAAATTGGGAGCAGCAGAATGCTTTTGACATTATAAATAATCGAGAAAGCAGTCGTCATACTACTTAGCCAATATGAGCGTCCCGAGGAGGGTAAAGGGCACGGAGGGGCAAGGTATCATGCTACTAGTTCTATTTGAGCGACCCTCAGGGAACAGCCTAAGGAATTAATTGCCGATAATAAGCAGATGTTTTGACAGCTTCTCTTTATTTGTCTTCTTAATGGGTATATTTGGATGGCGTGCGACCTCAACCGTTACTTCTTTTAGAGAGAGTGTGCGCATGGGCCACTTTCAACTACTAATTAAGGGATGAGTAGGTGCTTATACCAAAGCAATACAGCAAAAGAGAATTTGCTCGATCTTGGCAAAGGGACTGGGGCTGATACACAGGATACAGTCTGCTTCATTACAGCTATTGGGAATTTGTGTAGCCCTGTCGTCACCCCTATTCGATAATTATGCGTTGGGGGCTACCTCCACATTCTGTCGGTCCTTGCAAACAACCTACTCAAGCCGGTAAAATTGGGACCTATTCCAATTAGGACGAGAAATCTTTCGATGTGGTTCATCTGCAATCGAAATGCGATTTCTCGTTTCGCTTGAAGTTCACTCCCCAGATCCTATTTAAGTTCCTATATCCAGGGAAAAGTAGACTGATGGAAGCGCATCTGATTCTACCGCGACAAGGTCATTCTTAATATCGCCTGCCACATCACAACTAGGACGAGGTATTGCAAATTAGCAGAGGTTTCGCGGTGCGAACGCTGTTTCCGCCCTTTGTTAGTATTTGCCATGGAGATCTTACCTTCTACTTTTCTTGATCAGCCCACGTGGGTTATCATCTCTGTCATCTACCTTGGCTTGGCCAAAAATCCCTGGAAGCCAGTCAATTGCGATAATCTTTCCTACAGCTGCAGAATTCCAGTACCAACAACATGCAGGTGGTGGACGCTGAAATCGAATAAGTAGGTGTAGGTAGTACTCACTTCGAGAAGTCGGCAAATCAAAGCGGCAGTAAGGGGGTGGGGTGGGGGAATCAGCCGTGTCTCCGCGCTGGTGACACTGCAGCTGCAAATCGGTCAACCGTGCTGCCATGGTTTTTCACACCCAGGGCGGAGGTTGAGACGTAAGGGTTCAGATTCCACAGTCCAGTTGATGGAGCAGTAGTCTAATAGTATTTCTTTTCTTTGACACATGAGTGGGATTTCACTTTTAAATGAGTAAAATAAGGTGCGATCAGGAGGACGTGCAATTCCTACCTCCTTCTAACAGGATACCTTGATATCACACGACGTGATCGGCATCCACACCAACGGCCTCGCAAGCCCCGATTTACGAATGTGACACTCAACTACTCAGCCATTGAGGCTTACCGGCCGTAAACCTCACTTGCGGATTGACAAAGTCCGAAACCGATGGATGGAAAACAGAGCTAGGTTCAGGGTTAGGGAGAACCCGATGTCGCTGATCTCGTTGTCATTATTAAATGCTATGCACGAAATGCTGGAAATGACGCTTTGCGCAACCGTGTGCCTGTCAAATTGCGCAATTCAACAACAATGCAATCGCGGAGGTTGGACGCGAGCAGTAGTGGGGAATGTAGGTACTCACTACCATCGCGACAGTTAGTGGGCGTGTGAGTAGGCAAAATAGGAAGAAGGTCGAATTTGGCAATACAAACTTGTGGGTTTTTCCACTTCTCATCTCACTTAACCGGACGCATCTCCTTGAAGCAAGCTGTTGAGCAGTGTAAAGCAGGCGAGAGATTGCGTCGTTGAGTAATCTTACCAAGTGAATCAGTTTGCACTTGGACGTCAATATGCGGGGCTTACTCCCATCACCCACTATTGTGACAAATCATTGTGTCGGTTAATGTTCGGGACCCGTGGACACTTCTCAAACCCCACACCTATGGCGATTGTCTGGAAGGGTGGTGAGGTCAACGCACTGGTCCGTTGCTCTCGTAGCCCTCGTAAACACTTGACCAGTTGATGTTAGTCCCCTCTTACTCCAATTACTTTGGTGCAGGCAGCACAGAGAAGCCTTACCGTTGTGTCCAGGGCTGCTCCGTCACACCAATCCACGTGCACCATTTCCTTGATACAGCTAAAACAACACGTCGAGTCACCATCACAAAGTAAAGATGTGGTATAGGAAAGAGCCTGCCGATCGGAGAATAATTTGATCATCAAAGTACCAACAAGCATACACAAGCACTGCATTGGAGTGATGTACATTGGGTGCTGGACACACAAATCACCGAAGAAAGGGTAGGCTGTCAACTTTGTAGCATGACACGTAGTCCTATATCCTGATGCCAATTTTCCATGGCACAAATAAGAGTTGGTGTTAACAACTCACTTAAAGGTCAAGTAAATGGAAACTGTGGTGTAATTTTTGATTATAGTTGCAAAATTGGTACTGCTATTGTGCCCAGTGGTCACACTACTGATTAATGAATTGAGTAGCATTCATTGTAAGCTGTATGTGGGACTATGATATGTGAAATCCTGTGGTGTGTATCAAGGGTCACTCGCTCTTCCCCTTATTTGTACGCATGTGGAAATCGTTCCTTTTTTGTTTGCCTAGAGGCTGGGTCTTCCAGACAATGTCTCATTTAGAACCTCGCGCTCTCGTCCAATTTCCTTGATCCACTACCACGGACAGGGAGAGTCTAAGCTTGCCATCAACTGCGGTTAGGCCAATGGCAAACAGAAGATTCCATCTCAGTTCCATTTGCTATAGAGACGATTGTAGAGCTCTCTTTTCCTCTGTTGAATATTGAGAATGTTGACAAGGCATCTAAATATGCAATACCCTCACGGCCAAGCTTCGCCATATTGGGCAGCGTCGTGGATGACGGATTCTCACTACTTTCGACATCATGCGAGAGATAAACGCAGATCGGTGAAGTCGACAAGCCTTGCAAATGGAATAGACTCTTAAGGCTTTCCACTTGATTAACCGTTTCTCATTTATTTGATGTAGAAATCGTCGCACAGTCGGCTTAGGTATCGGCTCTAGTACACACGGTCAAATCCTCTCCCTTCTCCAGTTTCTCCTATCCATCATGAGGAACTGACTTGCCGCAGAAGACCTGATGGAACTAGTAGGTTCCACTCATGTGATATTTCCTTCTCTTCCTCTGATACAGGTCAGCTCAGTACAGACATCAGTGAGTGGGTGAGGTGACTACCAACACGTTACTCCGGCTAGGTTTTACTTGTGTCTGAGAAGGTGTGTCTACATCTTCCACCGGAAATTTGGGTTGGACGTCGACGTGATGATGTCCGTGTGGGATGTGGGAAAGTAACAGAGATGAGGATGAAGTATTGTGCAAAGGTGGGGAAGCCCATTCCATCCTGGACGGTGATGAGAAAGAGCGGCTGATGGGAGAAACTCAGTGTACATATAAGGGTGGGGGGAATGAAGGTGACTAGGGTGTCAGCTCAAGCTTAAGTCCAAGGCAGATGGAAGGAGACCGAACAATGTGCTACAGATAGGAAGTCAAACCGGATACTCGGTGATGAATTGCGCAAATTTGTTGCCATCACAGGCCGCTAGTTGACATCAACTTTGCCATCCTCAAGAGTTGTAATGGAGCAAACAGGTGTAAGTGATTGTAGTGGAGGGAATGAAGTGGCGAAGAGATCGACTACATCCCATCAACTGCTTGATGAGGGTAACACCTAGCCGTTTATGCATTTAACCAGAGAGGCAGCCAGCGCGTTAGTCGCCTTTCCTCTCCTCCCAACTCTTCTGCATCGCTCTACTACTTTCCAGTGCCAAGCGTGTAAATTCAGGATTGGAATAATAGAGAGACATCAATTCCGTGACACCACTCCTCATATTTTAATTTGTTGGAGTTAGAATGAGACGCACAGTCGGACTGTTTGTCGGTCTGCTAGTGCACCATCAAATCCTCCGCCACCAACAATCTCCCAAATCCTTTGCGGAAAACTGATCGTGGTGTTAAAAGGACCACTGAAGAAGAAGGTTCACCTCATGCGGCATCTCCATCCGTTCCTTCCGTGACATCAGGTAGTCCAGTGCAGACATGAGTGATAAGGTGAGGTGACTGGCACTGCGTTAGTCCTACTGGTCCTCCGTCTTGTTGTAGAAGGTGTGCCCGCATTAGTCGCTTCAACTTCGATTTAGGAATCCGTAGGTTGATGCTCGCATGAGATGTGAAAAACGGGCGGAAGAAAGGGTGAAGACTTGATCGGAGCCACTGAATCCCACTCCAGCGTAGGTGGGGAGTGTTTGATTTAAGAAAATCCGTGGTTTTACGAGAGGAGGAACCATATGAGAACCGGATGGTAAAAGCTTTTGCAATTAACTGTTAATAATTAGGTCTGAAAAAAACCAAAATAAGCAAGTCGGAATCATTCAAAAATTTCAATGAGTTTGTGTTTAACCGTAAGGGAATTCCGAGCTATATTCAAGATTTATACCAAAAGCCACAAAACCGACACCTGTTTTTTGGTTTTGAAAGTTTGGCGAGTCGGGATCCCAAGTGGCACCACCGTCACGACCACCT